TAGGTTCATTATCTCGTCGTAGCACATTCTGATCTGCGTTGTTTTTAGCTCATGTTTTGATTTGTGCAGTTATTTTGCCAGATTTATTTGTTTTAAATCAACCATGACCCCTAAGAAATGAAATCCAAAGGACAGTGATTCTTTCAAAGCTTTGGACAAAGAGAGGGAAAAACTGCTATGGGTGTGGGTGCACGAAAAACAACACCCAGGGGATACCGTGACAGAAGCAATTATTTGTGAGAATGCACGGGTGAATTACAGTGGCTTGATGAAGCAGGTACCAGTCGTGGCTTGTTTGATAAGTTTAGAAAGAAGTCTGGTATTCACTCCGTCCTGAGACATGGTGAGGCAGCAAGTTCTGAAGGTAGCGGATGAATACGTAAAAATCTTTCGCTGAATTGATTGAGGCGTAAGGATACGTCCCCCAACAAGTCTTCAACTGAAACGAGACAGGGTTATTTTGGAAATAATGCAGAAAATTTGGGGGGGGGGATGTTTATAGAAAAAAACATCTATAATATAGAAAAAAAAATCCAGAAAGTGTCTAGGCATTGTCTAACTCATTTCAGAAAAATTTTGACGGGAAGTAAAAAAAAAAAACAACCCTGGATATGTTTTACTGAAACGAACTTCGGTTCAAAGTCTTTCTTGACTTTGAACCGAAGTTCGTACGCCGAAAAAACAAAAAATAGTGAAAAAATGCGAACGTCATTGATGACCTTGAAAAATCAGCGACGAAGATCAAGCGTTTAGTAAAAAAAATAAAAATGTACGTAATTTTAAGTTTAATGTTAAGTTTCATATTATCGAAGTACTACACAGTGGAGTAATGGATAGCGTCTCGGAGTGAGGAAGCGAATTTCAGTTGAATTCATTACATTCACTTATATGCTAATACCCTTGGAGAAGGTATGAATCCACTTCTTACCGCCCCCCCCCAAGCTATGGGTAAATAGCAGGACAGACCGGGTTCTATAGCCTTGGATGGCAACTGGTCTACCGCAGAAAGAAATGGCAACCTGCTGCGAGAAAAAATCTGCTTCGTCAGTCATGTATCGAAAGATACATGATCGCCTAAAGCGTATATCACTCATGGCATATAACTGACTCAGGTGGAGTAATGGACAGCAGCTCGGATTGAGGAATCAGAAAGCCGTGTTCGAATTCCAGGAATGAATTCTCTTCTTCTCTCACCAGCTATGGGTAAATAGCAGGACAGACCCAGCTGGATCGCAACTGGTCTACCACAAAAAGAAATGGCAACCTACTGCGGGAAAAAAATTGCCTCGTCAGTCATGTATCGAAAGATACATGATCGACTAAGCGTGTATCACGCATGGCACATAACTGACTGCTAAGTTAAGTGAGAAGGCAGAAGATTTTCCCGCAGTAGATTGCCATTTCTTTCTACGGTAGACTGGTTGGCAACCAAGGCTACAAAACCCAGTCTGCCAGCTATTCAACCCATATCTGATAGGGGAAGAGATGTATACATAAATTTCCCAGAGGCATTTTCGCGTAATTTGCATGTAACGAACTCGAGTGGAATTCGAACTCAACTCTCCGATTTATTATTTCTTCTTTTTCTATGTGCCGTGTCCCTTCAGTACATAGGTGGTCATGGCTCTCCACAATTTCCTGTCCTTTGTAGCTCTTAATAAATTTTGTCTTTTTGTTATCTCTCCTAAACCCTTTTCTGTCATCCATTTACTCATGCTCATTCTTCTCCTATGTGTCGTAGTTCTTCAGGCCGTTGGCGATCATGGCCCTCCACAATTCCCTGTCCTTTGTAGTTCTTATTTCGCCATCCATTTACTCAAGCTCATTCTAAATTTGTTATGCGTTGTTTTCCTGCTTCTCTTGCCTTCAAATCTGTCCCGTGGGTGTCAAGTTCTCCAAGCCCTCTTCCCTCATTATGTACACTAGAAATTTCATCTGTCTTTTCCTGATGTTAAGTATAAGTTTCCTTTTTGTTTCCATTTTCCTCAAAAATTTTTCGTTGCTCATATGTTCGGTTCATAGGATCCTCATCATCCTGCTGTAGAACTACATTTCTGTTGCTTCAAGTCTCTTCTTCATCTGCGAGAAGATTCTCAAACATTCACTGCATTATAGGAAGACAGATATTACATAATAGTTCAGTATTCTTTGTTTCTGACATTTTTTTCTGTTTCTTAATACTTTGCTTAGCTTTTGGAAAGCATCTTTCGCTATGCTCAAACGCCTTTGGATTTCAGTGTCGCACTTTCCGCCAGATATTTAAATATTTGTACTTGTTTCATTTTGATATCTCCAATTTGTAATTTGCATGTTGGATTGTCCCTTTTGCTAACAACCATGAATTCTTGCAATTGATGTTTAGTCCTTTTTCTGGATTTCCTTCATTATCTTCAGTAGGACTTCTTGTAAGTTCATTTCCGTGTCCGCTATCAACATTGTGACATCTGCATATCTTATGCCGTTAAGGCTGTGGCCGCCAATACTGAATCCTGGTAGGACTTTTAATTCTCTCGGAATCGCTTCAGTGTATAGGTTGAATAAGTCCGGTGAGAAGAACAAGAAAAGAAGGAAATTTATATATAAACAACTAGCAGTAGAGCCCGGCATTGCCCGGGAATGTAACAGTAAGAGATAGATCAAGTATCGACCATCATAAAGACTGAAAAATAAAATTGACAAAGATTATTGTTTAAGGTTGACGGACACGCATGTCTTAATTAGTTTTTTTTTTTTTTACGAATTGGTCAAACTCAAACAAAAACATTGTTTTCAATCGTTATGAGTCTACCGATTGAATAGAATTTTATTATAAACAATTGTCTTGTAAATGGAATTTTTAAAGCATTCTGAACGTAAAAATAAAAAAAAGTGTGCAAGACAATAAGAAACATTACCTGCCAAAAAAAAAAGTGAAGTTTTGTTGAAGTCGGTTGAAAAATGTAGGAAATCCGATCCCATATATAAACGAACACACACACACACACACACACAAACAACCTGGGTTTTATAATAAGTATAACTCGATATGAGTTGTCACCCTTTCATTCTCGCGATGCCTCATAATCGTGTTTTCAAATTGATTTCGTGCAAAAACAATTGTGTTTTTCCAATTTTTGGCGCTGTCAGAACCACCGCAAGGTAATTTTACGTAATCCTGTGAAGTTTTGTTGAAATCGGTTGAAAAATGTTGGAAATCCGATCCAATATATAAATGTACAGACACACACACACACACACACACACACACAACCTGGGTTTTATAATAAGTATTGATTATTAACTATAAATTTGGGGAAAATGCATTTTCCTTGTAATTCTTTCATTTGTTCTCGAAACATCAATTCACTAAAAGATCAAAATGTCTAAATACAGTTTCATATGTTTGTGTTTTATTAAAATTCTAAAAATAGCTTTTTAAATCAATAAAGAGGAAAACCGCCCTTTTTTGCGGTCTTTTAACTTTTACCTACTTGTGGCTTAAGAAGATGATGGTTTATTTCGTAATATTTCTTTTCTTGTGTTGAAGAATCTTAATTCAAGTGAGAGTTATTTCCAGTCCACCCACAAGTTGTCAGAAGAGATTAAAGTGACAGTGATGCCTTACGGGAATTCATGGATATACAAATGCATCCTAGGGACAGTGTCACTGTGAAGAGCCAATAACTTTATATAGCTACAAATATCAAATACAAATACGGGATTCCAGTAAAAATCAGTTTCATGAAATTTATGCACCCGTTAAATCAAAGTCATTTTCAGTTACATATGTTGCCAAATTTTAGATAATATCATTTGTAACTTGGATTTTAAGAACGAGAAATAAAAAAAAGTATTTGGCAATGATATTTCTTATTAACTTTAATTTTGAATTGAAGACAAAACTTATTTTCAATATCCTTCCTGTTATTTGAGCCGGATTTGCATATGGGCTAATATGGGCTAATGCTAGAGGTGTCCCCAATTACCCATTAGTCTTGGGCCCCGGGAAAAAAATAAATAAATCAAAGATATAAGAACAGAGGAGATTTGTTTATTTTCAGATTTAGTGGGGTTCCTTTGAACAAATTTGAAACAATTTAGTGCATTTGAACCCCTCTAGTTGAAGTGGGTCTTTTAAATTCGATTGGGTCAAATTTAGATTTTGATACATCTTATATATATATATATAACAAGCATTATTCTTAGAGGGCGTTTCAGAGTCTGATCAGCTCTGAAAGGGTCGATTTGGTGAGGTCAGTATGATGTTTGAAAGACCCGAAACTGTCCAATGATCCTTTTCTAGAACATCACTGACGACGCCCTCAAGCGCTAAAGGAGCGTATATTCAAAGTATATATATATATATATATATATATATATATATATATATATACTTTATTTTAGGATATTACAGCAAAAAAGCGCTACACAATTGCAGTCGTGTTTCAATGAGAATCAACGCATCTCATCAGGCGTTAGTAACGTTAGTAGTTTTAGTAACGTCTAATCACCATGATTTATAACTGCTATTGAAGATAGATAGATAGATAGATAGATAGATAGACAGATAGATAGATATTTTTGATGTTGCTCTTTTAGTTTTGCATAATTTTGTCTACTTTGTTCAATTTTTGCTCAATTTTACACTTCATCGACACAGACATATGATAAATGCAAAATTACTCACTATTGCACAAATTAGAAAAAAAGATAAAAATTTAAAAAAGTAATACGGTGCAAAAGTAATGTTTGATTTATTAGTTTTCTACGGCTTATTAACCTTTTGCTAGTTATTTAAAGCCAGAAAATATTTTTAGATTGTAAGAATTTTTGTGATAATAATGTTTTAGTGATACAAGTCTCACTAATTAACCCATAGCTGGAGGAGGGGAGGTGGATTCATACCTTTCCCAAAGGTATTTGCACGTAAGTGAATATAACGAACCCAACGGGAATTAGAACTCGGCTCTCCGATTAAGAATTCCGCATTGTTATCCATTACAACAACCACACACCCAAACTTACAACACCTGGTATTCCCAAGTGGTCACCCATCTAGGTACTGATCAGGCTTGACGTTGCTTAACTTCGGTGATCGGTAGCACGCTTAAATTCATGCAGTTGGGGAACGAGTGAAAATAGCTCTTCAGAGTAGATGCCTTGAAAATATTTATAGAAAAGACAGAGGAAAGCCACTTTACATCGGTGAGAAAGTGACTGGAGTCGAAACCCCAAGTCAGGACCGATCACATTGCATATCCGTCTTTGGATTTTGCCTTGTCGATTTTTTTTCTTTCGCTACAGCCATTCGGAATTATGGTCAGCCCTGACTGCTCGATATAAAACTTCCTCGATTATCCGCACCTCGATTTTCCGGACTTCGATTATCCGGGCGTGAAATGAAAAGAAAAACTGAAACCATTCGAACATTTTTCAATGATCTGAACTAAATCTGTTCTAATATTTCATCTCAGACAAGCGTTTTCGGAATTTAGAAAACCATACTCAACGTTTGATAAAAACGCTGATAATATCAGTTCAATTCTTGGTAATTTCCTCATTGTTTTCATGCGAAGAACATATGCTATATACAAGACAGTTGCTATATACTGCGTATGGTCCTCAGAGTAATAAACGAAAAACAGCAATGTATTTCTGGTGAGGCGGAAAGGAAAAGAGTCAAGATATGTTAAAATAAAGTCATCTGTATTTCCAATGTATACATTGGATCAAGGTAGACCGCCTCTTGTTAGGCAAGTGTGGTGATTCTTGTGTGTGAAAGAGTTTATCTGGAAGATGGGGGAGCTGGTTGCGTCCTGGTCTCGCGCTGAAGCTTGTATCCGGTCGGTTGAAACAGATGCCGCTGTGAAGTGCTTATCAATTGTTTTGAGTTTCGCCGAGCGAGTCTTTTTAAGCAGTGGATACATGACTCAACATTTTGTCATATTTTTACTTTAACGGCAACGTTTGTAACTGGCTCCAACGTTTAATTTTTTGTCGGGGTCTGTTGTGAGCTGGATATGATGCTTGAAGCCCATGTGCAAAGGGAGATTTTTTTTTATTTTGCTTTCGTAGAATTCACATCCGGCCGACAGGTTTTGATGGGGAGTGAATCGAAAGGCGGTCTTATTTGTATACAGTGTATAACCCATATATTCGAATTATCACAGCTTGGTCACGCTAGAGAGTATGACTTACGAAGAGGCGTGGGCGGGGTTTTATAATGATCTGGCCCATGCTGAAGTTGAATAGCCCCAATACCCAATATCAAACACCGAAGCAATGATTATGCTTAACACATGTTCCAGTTGGTTGCTCATTCAATACAAAGCTACCCTTATAAATACGGAGTGGATAGATGTTATTTTTTAAATCGGTATTATCCCAAACAAAGCAATAGAGTCACTATCCTGCAAGGGGTTACAGGGTGTGGAGGAATTAGAAACAGAAACATTAATAATGAGTAGAAAGAGAAAAGAGCAATCAGGAGGACAGTAGATAGCGATTGACCTTGCATTTAAATATTTGCAGTTTAAAGTTGGTTGGAAAGCATGGAGCCAGGAGGGAGTTCCACAAGCAAGAAGTGCGAGATAAGAAACTGTTAGTATAGGATTTACGGCTATATCTACCTAGCTCAACTGTAAATTGTATTGTGCATAAATTCATACAGTCTAGGTACCATAACGAAGAGCGATATTCGTGAAAACACAAAATGTGGCACAAGGCCAAAATGGGGAGTGGGAAAAAAAAAGGACGTTTTTTTTTTCTGTCTAAAATTTAAACTTAGCTAGCCACAATCACTGACCCAAACATACCACAATATGCCTAACACCAAAACAATGCATTCTTATTACATTTACCATAATATCTCAATGTCTATGAAAGTTTTAACTAGTCTCCATATGTAAAACTCATTAGGGGGGGAATAAAACAATTATAGCGAAATTAAATTCATACAGTCTAGGTACCACAGCGAGGAGCTCATACGAACAATTACCATGAAAGTATTTATTAAAAAAAATGTTACAGTGAAACAACCTTACGGCGGTGGGCAAGTGACCGAAGCCGGACCTCCAAATCAGGGCCAATAGTATTGCTGATTCTTCTTTGGATCTTATCAAAGAGCTCCAGATAAATAGCAGAGGCACCAGACCATATATGGCAGCAATATTCTAAGCATAGACGAATGGTAGACTTATAGATATGCAAGATTGTCTCGTCTGTCACAGTGAACCAACTTTCTTATCAGCTGACCGAGCAATGGATTCAATACATTCCACTTCCTGCCAGCTGAGAAGATTCGACCTAAGAGGCGCAACGAGTCACTTTAATGGAGGCTAACATCAGCCATGCTGATGAAAGGCAGAAAGGGGCTTCTCAGATGATTAATGCAGAGAAATTTAGTTCTGGAAGCGCTAAAATTGACAAGCCATTTTTTGCCCCAATTAACAACGGTCTTGAGTTCGTTTTGTACATCAGCTGCCATTTTGATGTTGTCGGACTGATCAGCCTTACTATCGAGGTAGGAGTAAATGGCAGGTTTGTCAGCGTAGATGCCAACTTGAGAGCTGATGTCATTGGGAAGGTCGTTAATGAAGATTAAAAACAGCATAGGGCCAATAATTGAGCCCTGGAGAACACCCGCGTTAATACGAAAGGATGTCGACGAGTGACTGTTCAGAATAACTTTCATTTCACAATTTGATAGGGACGATTGGATCAGCTCAAAAATATGCTAGGCTTGTGAAAAAAATCTTAATGCCAAACTCTGTCAAAGGCTTTCGAGATGTCTAATGCTACAGCCCGGGCTTCACCGTTTTTATCTAGAACATAATTGCTTGTCTGAGAAAAGGTCCTGTGATGAGAGATGATGAACTAATTCAGCATTGATTAGAGCCTCTAGGAGTTTCCCCTAAAGGGCTAGAAGGCTAATAGTCTGATAGTTGGATGGGTTGGATAGTTTACTAGTGTTCTTAAAGCTGGAACAACGAAAAGACTTCTAGCGAACAGGAAAGCGGGCGGCAATGAGACATCTATTATACAGTTTAGAGAGAACGGGAGCTCATTCAAGAGCACACTTCTTAATGACTATTACGAGGATGTCATCGGGTCGACATCAGTGTCAGTTACAGCCTTATGCTTAATCCGATAGAAAAGGTGTTATACTGGAACACACCAATTCTACTGATAATAGACGCTCCCACTTATAATAAGTAGGAGTAGTAGGGTGCTCAGCTGGGTTGGTCAGTCAGTCGATGTCGGACGACCATTAGTTGGATACTAAAGTATCAGCGACCACGACTAGATTTCTCTGTGTCATTACCTATTATATCAAGTTCCTAACGTTTTGTACGTCGAACCTATTTTAGGACCGACTTAGTACAAATACAAGCCTCCACTGTGAAATCACTCTACAACAAAAGGCTTGGTCGGTTATAAAGGCATTTATCAAAAGAAAATTGGCTGAAATATGGGTGAGATCCACAATGCAGAAATTCCATCAGGGACAACGAAAAAGGATTTTCGATTGAACAAACTGGAAGGTATTATTGAAGATTCCTTAAATGAAATAATGCAAGCAAGTCATAGCAAAAATCCAACGAATATTTCCAACAGTATTAAATTTGAACAAAGTCGAGTCTTAAACTTGTATGGTTATATCAAGAAACACTTCTTGTATTAAATTTGAGTATTCTCATTTTGACTTGGGATTTTCACATTTTGAGTTTGCAAATTCTTACTTTGAACTAGTAATGATAAAGAGCATAATAAACTCTTTCCGCAATTATAATCAGTACATCACCAATTGATCTGGAGAAACGAAAACCATAGTGCTTGTCTGAGAAAAGTCCCTGTGATGAGAGATGATGAACCAATTCAACATTGATTCGGGCCTCCAGGAGTTTCCCAAAAGGAGGCAGAAGGCTAATAATTGGATAGGTCAGATGGTTCAGCAGAGTTCTTAAAAACTAGTACAACTGACGATGACTTCCAGCAAGCAAGAAAGCAGGAGGTAGCGAGGCATTTATTATACAATTTAGAGAGAACAGGAGCCAGTTCCGGAGCACACTCCTTAATGACTATTGCAAGGATACCATCGGGTCCACGTGCTTTGTGTGGATCAAGGTTAGAGATGATAGCAGAAACCATGGAATGGGTTATATGCATATCATTAAACAGAGAATCTGTTCTAAGTGAACAGTATAGAGTTTGAGGAGAACTTATAGTCAAAGTATTCAGCTTTATCAGTAGTATAACACCTCAAATCGATTGATAGAGACCTTTCACTTATTTAATACCCTATTTCAGAGACGCCAGTAATCACGAGAGCCAATGTTTTAGAGGCTATGTGGTGCCTCATTCTCTCAGCAAAAAAGAACTTAAACCATTCCAGGACTCGCTTACATTTATTACAAGCAGTAGCAAATTGGCACCTGTTATGACGAGAGCTGTAACGCTGGCATAGCCGGAAATAGTAGTTCTTGTGTTCTATGGCGGCCGTGCATGCTGGTGCGAACCAAGGAGATGATTCAGCTGATATTTTAGAGGAGACGAAAGCACCAATGCTGGCTTTGACACAAGAAGCCTCAGTGGCGCAATTTTCAATTGGGTGGCTAAAGATGTCAGTTCTCGGGACGTTACGAAGAAAATCCGGATACATCCCAGTTTAGGATTGGGATTCCGGTTCCTTCTAAAATCTTTTCAGTCTCTTCCCCTCTCAGTAGATCCTTGCATCTTGGTGGCATTACTGCCTTTCTTGGGGTGAATTGATTTTTTTTTCTTAAATTACTTTAATCCAACTTTAACTGCGAAACCCCCGCCAAGCCCGAGTTATTTTTTCATCAAAAGTAAATTGGACAAGACCTTGAACAAAACGTTTCAAAATGTTATTTGATGAAATGAATGTCAAATTTCTTTCAAAAAATGACCTTTTTTTCTTCATTTTGGAATTATTTCATCATCTGTTCTAAGGTGTCCGGATAATCGAGGAAATACTGTATTGGGCAATTAATTAACAAGCTGAACTTTTAAATTAAGTACAGAGAATAAAGCTTGATTTTTCTCCATGGTTGTAAAAGGCATCGTAGAGTAATAGATT